TGGGGTCCTCAGCACAAGAAGGACATGGACCTGTTGGAGCGAGTCCAGAGGAGGCCACGAAGAGGATCCGAGGGCTGGAGCCCCCCTGCTGTGAGGACAGGCTGAGAGAGTTGGGGTTGTTCAGCCTGGAGGAAAGAAGGTTCTGGAGAGACCCTATAGCAGCCTTTCAGTACCTAAAGGAGGCCTACAAGAAGGATGGGGTCAAACTTTTTAGCATGGCCTTTTGCTGTAGGACAAGGGATAATGGTTTTAAACTAAAAGAGGGTAGATACAGACTAGGTATAAGGAAGAAATTTTTCACTGTGAGGGTAGTGAGGCAGTGGCACAGGTTGCCCAGGGAGGTGGTAGATGCTCCATCTCTAGAAACATTCAAGTCAAGTTGGACGGGACTCTGAGCAACCTGAGTGAGTTGAAGATGTCCCTGCTCGTTGCAGGGCGGTTGGACTAGATGGCCGGTAAAGGTCCCTTCCAACCCAAACTTCTATGATTCTAAATTGCCACTCTTTCACCTGTATTGCTTCCATTTCCATGCAATGCCTTTATTGTTAAAAAACAACTAAAACCTCAGCTGTAGCAAGTAGGAAAAAGTGAGTTTCTGCTCACACTCCCTCCTCGCTTGTTTTAAAACAAGTTAGGACGAAGTTCCTGCAGGCACAGACGTCCAGTACAGCTCATCCATACCTGTCTGTCTGACCCCCTTCAGCCAACCATGCCTTTGTGTGCAGGAAAGTTACTAAGGAAAATAATTTTACTCATTTCATATTGCACACAATGTAGCTATTCAAGTTTTTGTTTCTATGTCCAGTATTTACAGCAAAGTCGTATCAATATTTCACCTTCCCTAAGATCTCACTTCGATTCAGAGTCTTAAGTTGTGATCTCATGCATATCAGTGGATTGGCATTCGATTTACATGCATTCTGGCTATATGGGAAGTTTATTGTTCAGTTTACTCCCCTGGTTTGCTTTTGAGCAAGCATTACAAAATTGGAATGCATGCTTTAATATCTGTTGACTATGAGAGTAAAGGCCTTATCGGTTGTGTTGCCAGTGTTGTTGCAAACACTCTGTAGGCGGGGAGGCATACTAAAATATCTTCCCTTAGTTCTGCATTTCTGTAGCAGCAGGGATTGGGTGAGCAAGCAGTTTTCAGTATTGTGTTTTTTTTTTTAGTTTATGGAGTTTGTTACTTTTAAGTACTTGAAAATTGTTCTTTAACTGTTCATAGTTTTGGTGGAGAAATCCCTATCAGTGAAATGCATACTTGTGGAAACTTCAGGATCAAATCAGTAGACTGGAGGTGTGATAGAAAGATTGGTAGAATTCAGTAATTGATGTGTGAGAAGGGGGTGGGGGGAAACATAACAGAGTCATTCCTTGTTTAAAGAAGGCCGTTTTCTGTATGTTCTCTTTATGCCTGATTTGAGAGTCTGTACTGAATGTGAGTCCAGTCATATCAGTTTTATTCTGTGTGGGTACTGGCTTACTGATTTTTGGTACTGCAGAAACACTTTTGGTAGGGCAAACATGAAGGAAGTGAGGCAACAAACTTAGTCTTCACCGAGAAACAAAAATACATATGTTTGCTTTAGTATTTCATCTTGGTGCCTTTCTCATATATCCTTCTGGTAATTTTCTATCATTGTAGTACTATTAAACTGGTCACTGTATTTTGCACATTAAGTGACACAACAGGAAAATGGAGGGGAAAAAAAGATGCAATTGTAGAAGTGATTAAGCTTAGAAATATTTACTTTGTCCTAAAATACCTCAAAGTTGAATATTATTTTAACAGAATACAAAATGAAAAAAGAGGAGGAAATCAATAATATTAGAATGCATTATGAGAAGAGCATTAACACTGAAAGAACTCTGAAGACACAGGTATAACTTTTTATGTAATTTAATAGCAATAATTACTTTGCATATCAGATATATTCTCAGTTTATTGGTTTTTTTGTGCAACTACCTCTTAGTTCCTTTGAGATTAAGTTTATATTAACCATGATGTATGATATGCATTGTTGATATTTACAGTTGAAAGAATCAATTTTGATGCTGTGTACTTTTCAGTATTATTTCTGTCATGAGTAAGGGCCATTTATGTTGGTGAAGATTTTTTTCATCGAATCCTATAACTCAGTGAACTTAGAAGTTTTGTGTGAAACATGCTTGCATACATCATTTTTCTCACTGGCCTTCCTTTTTCTTAACAGGCTGTCAACAAACTGGCTGAGATAATGAATCGGAAAGATTTTAAAATAGACAGAAAGAAAGCTAACATGCAAGATTTGAGGAAGAAGGAGAAGGAAAACCGAAAGCTCCAATTAGAACTTAATCAAGAAAAAGAGAAATTCAATCAGATGGTAGTGAAATACCAAAAGGAGCTTAATGAAATGCAAGCGGTAAAATGATCTTAAATTTTTTTGTCACATTGTGGAATTCTCTATGCAGGAAAAATGTATAGCTCCTGGTCTACTTGAAAAGATAACAAGTTCTGTTTCAGATGTTCTAGGCTACAGAATTTTAGTGAGGCACAGAACTTGACAAGTGTGCAGCTGTGCTTGTTCTCATTCATCTCCCCTTTCTAAATTCTTAACTGTGGAAGTTACTGGTATTGAAGACTGAAAAACTGAATACTATGTAGCGTACTGTTTATGCAGTTTGTTTCACTGGTGGTGGCCTTTTCAAAACAAATGATAATTTATTAGATTAATCGGACTGTTTTGTACTTGAGTGCATTGCTGGATCTTTAACTTTTTTCCAAGGCTGAACGAACACTTCTACTATAATAATTTATGCTAATGCTATCAAAAGTATCTAGAAATATTAAAAAAAAACAACAAACCCAAACAGTAATGAGTTTTGTTTTCAGAATACTTTGCTGCTGTATTTTTGGTATAACAGTAACTATGCATATGTATATAAATGCAGCAACTGGCAGAAGAATCTACATACAGGAATGAGCTCCAGATGCAGCTGGATAGTAAAGAGAGTGACATAGAACAACTACGAAGGAAAATTTTGGACCTCCAGCAAGGAATGGATTCTACCAGTGTTGCTAGTCTCCAGCCAGATGAAACAGATGGAAATCTTTCAGGTAAGAGAAAAGCATATTTGAACTACTTAATTTTGTGCATACACATAGTTTTGGAAGGAATCGTCTCAAACAAGTTACTACCTTTTGAAATCTTCTGACTATCTCTTTCTATATTACATCTCTGCTTCCTTTTTTTTTGTTTTGTTTTTTATTTCATGGCTTAACTGCTTATATTTAAGTCTTAATTTCTTCTCACATCACTCCTCCCACTGTATGGCTTGACATTAGTATAATTTTTATCCACTTTTGTGGAAGGATTATCTTTACATCTGCTGCTGTTGGAATATAGCGAATACAATGTGTAGTGTCCAGTGAATAGAACACAGGGCAGCACTTCCACGTCATGATTGTATTTTGTATCTTGAATGCAGAATTGCCTTGATCTTGTCTGTTTTTACTCACAGTCATGTAGCATGTTTGTGACAAATGGCAATAATTGCCAATGTGAAAAATAATTGTAGGAATTTCTATAATGCATTTGTGGTTGTATGGTACTCTGATTTAGCAGATTAAAATAAGAACAAATAATACGGTGTAGTTAATCATTTCCATATAGTGTCAGTTCCAAGCACTATATTTTGAGACCCACTGTTACACTGGTTAGTGATTTTTTTTTCTTCCCTCCTCCCCAGTGTTTGAAAAGCATAATCAGTTAGTACTTTCACATGATCCACTTCCGTATCTCTAGATACAGGAAAAAAAGTTTAGTGGTAATAAGCTGTGCCTGACAATTTCCATATGTTGGACCTAGGTTTACTTTTTTGTTTAAGTAATTTTTAGAATTCATTGTGAATTTCTTAATAAATGCTTGTCTTACATGGTTGTCTTACAGCTTTACAGTCTGATTTTTATTGTAGGAAAATAGATTCAAACATACAAAAATAGAATACTATTTTGGGTATTTTAAGACTTCAGTGGATGAGTAATCAGATAAAAGTAAACAGAATCATTTTAGGTGTCTCTTTTCCTGTTAATGCACTTCATGCTCCTCTGATTGCCACATTGTAGAGTTTTTCCAGGGGTCTTAAAGTGAGTGAAATTTCAGGTAGGTTATGAGACTTAGTATATGTTTTTATGTAGTTACTCCTTTCTGTGCCTATTTTTGTGTCTTGTCTTCCCCTAGTATAATTTTAGATTTTCATTTTTAGTTAATATTAGAAAGAATTCTGTTCTAGAATAAATTTTCATTCAGATAATTATTTAGTCTTTTCTTGACAACTTCCATTCTATCCAGGAATGCACTCTGAAGTTTGATCTGTAAAATCCTCAGGCAGTTGCCATCTTGTAAAGTAAATGTCTATTTTAGTTCTTTTGAAAACATCTTCTGGGCCAAACTTCCATTGAAACTCAGTATTGGTAGTTCTTAGAACTATTAGATTGGTGAAGGAACTTTTTTTTTTCCTAGCTATCACCTGCTACGAACTCCCTCTGGTATTTCTGAACTGTCAGTACTTCTCTGGAGTTTTTCTCTTAGATACTAATTCTAAGTGTATTCTATTTAACTGGGGTAAAAAAAAAAAAAAGAAAGAGGTTTTACTTATTAAAATGGTGTGGTGGTTTTTTTTTTCTCCCCTCAAATTACTATTTGGGATCAAGCCTTATGTTTGATAGTGTCTCCTAGATGAACAACACTGTAGTTTGTAATTTTTTGTTGAAAATTTCTGAACTCCTGTAAATTGAGAGCTTAAATTTTTCTACAAGAAAACAGACTAGATTTATTCTACATAAAAGGGTAGTTTTGAACTTCCTCACTTCCCTTCTCAACCGTTTTCAGCATAGTGGCTGTTGTGTGTTACACTGAAAACACCCAATGCCTCGATCTGGGCATAGGCACCTTCCCTGTGTTGTTCTTAAGGGCAACGAAGGTGGGGAAGGGTCTGGAGGGTAAGTCTTATGAGGAGCGGCTGAGGGAACTGGGGTGGTTTAGCTTGGTGAAGGGGGGGCTGAGGGGAGACCTGATCACCCTCTACAATGACTAGAAAGGAGGGTGTAGCGAGGTGGGGGTCGGTCTCTTCTCCCAGGTAACAAGCAATAGGACGAGAGGGCACAGTCTGAAACTGTGCCAGGGGAAGTTCAGGCTAGAAATGAGGAGGCATTTCTTCACAGAAAGGGTCATTAGGCATTGGAATGGGCTGCCCAGGAAGGTGGTGGAGTCCCCATCCCTGGAGGGGTTTAAGAAAAGACTGGAGGTGGCACTTAGTGCCATAGTCTAGCTGACATGATGGTGTTAGGGCAAAGGTTGGACTCGATGATCCCAGAGGTTTCTTCCAACCAAATCGATTCTGTGATAGTATATCAGTATGGTCCTGCTGTCTCTTAGATCTTGGAAAGACTGTAGGAGTAAGCTCTTTCTCTGTCTGCCTCATTAAGGTATGTTATTTTCAGTTTTACCTCTGGAGACCTGTGTAGTCAGGCGGTATGACCTGTTGCTTCAATTTTGGGGCAGAAATTTGGTATGTGCAAGGTCTTTTCAAGTCAGCTGTAACTTTTCCATTGTTAATTATAACATCACAATGACTGGAAGTTTTTGTTGTCTTTGTCTTCTATACTCATGACCCCTCTAACTGTTTCTTTTTTACTAGCCCTTCATTTCTCTTTTTTGCCCTTTTCTCTACACATGCCTCTTTTTACTGCAGTTGTGCTGCTGGTGTTACTGTATCATACAGGTAGGACCTCTAATAAATATTATTAGGACATCTGTAGATTTAGATCATGTCCCTACATGCTGTGAGCAAGGCTTTGAGTTGATCAGGATCTGAATAAGAAGCAATTTAGGTAATTAAAAGAGAATAAGTGACATTAGTATAGTCAGATTTCACACATTTGTCAGAGCCAAGTAGAGGGTGGAGGAGGAGTGCAGTAGCATTATAAGGAGGGGGAAAAACAGAACAAAACAGTCTTCAAAGTAGAAATACCCTATGCCCCAGAAAGAGGAAATTATCCAGTGCGTAGTTATTTTTCTGGAAACCAAGTAATTAGTCTTCAAAACAGGAGGTGGCATACCACAGCAGTTCATTTGCTACAATTCAGTTGTATGAAGCTGTTTGTCTTTAACTGTGTGCTAAGTTCCCATCACTTCTATTGCCCAAACATAGACTTCAGAGCACCTTGAATAGCATCTTGTTTAAAGGTGGATCTGATGAGTAGTCAATAGGATTCTCTAGCTGATGCTAGAATAAATGTTAGAATTACAAAAAAAGTAATTATAGTATGATTTATTCAGTTACCTGCCACAGTACAAACATCACCAGGGAAAAAATGAAAACACAAAATAATGTAAACATGTATTAAAAGAATGATTCTGTGGTCTCAATTCTGGCCATGGCCAGTCGCTGGTTTAATTGAGAAATTAAATATGAAATGGTGAGATAGTAATGTTGGTGGAATTCCAGAGGGACCCCTGGCTCTTGGGCATTTTCCAGTGTCCTCCTACATGGCAGAGAGGTTCAGGCTATGGGGTAGTGATTTGTCCAGTCAGGGAGCTTAGGCTACCAGCCACCAGAGAGGCTACAAGACTAGAATTCATAGTTTACAGGAAGAGCATCTTGTAAAATTTTGGGCTTCAGAAGGCTTCGCGCTCTCTGGATAAACTCAAGGTAATACTAAAATGAATTCCTAACACTCAGAAAAATTTAAGGAAAAATTTTCAGTATTTGGAGGTAGATGCAGAGAAACCACGTGGTAACACACCTTACAGCTGTGTCTCACTTGGAGGTGGTTCCTCTCTGTCATTGAGCTAAATACACCCTCAAGTGCTGGTAGCAACCAGGGCAACTTAGGCTCTCCCAAGGCAGGGACTGGCTTGTTTAGGCAATCCAGGCTATTCTCAGGCTTTTGCTTTACCAGATGGGAAAGATCATGACATGGAGGAAGGCTTTCCCTGTATTCAGTTCTAGGCATTTTTTGTAGCTCTCACTCCTGATTATTGATTCAGATAGCAGCTCATGTTTCACTTGGTGTCTCCTATGTTAATAAAGTCCTTGCTCAAACAGCTGAAGTATTTGCTTTTTAATGATGCCTTTGGAATGCCTCTTCCTCCTGGCTGAACTTAGGAAGTCTTAATACTGACATGATTGTAAACAGAGTTGTTCTTTGTCAAGACAAAACATAATCAGGAACTTAAGGGTTTTTTTTCCTAATTGTTATAGGGCACTTAACCTCTTGTGAATTAATTATTTTCATGTGATTGGCAAGCTAATTTAAGCAGTTGAGCTGTCCTACAGGTTTAACTGCGGCACATAATATTTTACAGTGTATGTTATAAATTAGGTTTTACACAAAGATAGGATGGAATAATAAGCGTGGACCATTTAAGCCAACTATTTTTTGAATATGGGACACAGATAGGACTTTCTGAAGTACCTGCAAGTAGCCATCACCTGAATAAACCTCAAAGCAAGATCCAGCCAGCAGTCCTTGGTGAGATCCATGTGAAATTATAGTAAGACAGTCTGAGGAAGGAAAGAATCAAATG